ATTTCCCCAGCACCATTTATTGAAAAGTATGTCCTTTCCCCAACATATGTTCTTGTCTAATTAAAGGGAGTCTGTCTCTCCCTTTAAATCCAGTATTTGCTTCACCTGTCTGGGTGCTCCAGGGTTGGGTGCGTATACATTTACAATTATTATATCCTCTTGCTGAATTGATGTCTTTATCGTTATATAATGACCTTCTCTTTTTACTTCTCTTTTTATCATTATATAGTGACCTTCTCTTTTTACTTCTCTCTTTACTGTTTTCTACTTAAAGTCTGTTTTATCAGATATAGTTGTAGTTACTCCTGCTTGCTTTTGGTGTCTGATTTCATGGTATATCTTTCTCCATCCCTTTACTTTCAGTCTCTATGTGTGTTATAGTTGAGATGAGTTTCTTTTAGGTAGCTTAATAGTCATGTGTTTTATTCATTTAGCTGGTCCATGTCTTTTAAGTGGAAAGTTTAATCTGTTTACATTCAAGGTTATTATTGATATATGAGGGCTTATTTCTGTCATTAATTGATTTTGGGGTTTTTTGTAAATCCTTTGTTTCTTCCTTTCTCTCTCATTCTCATTGCGATTTGGTGGTTTTCTGTAGTGACAACATTTGAGTTTTTTTCTCTTCCTTATTTGTGTGTTTGCTCTGCCAGCGTGTCTTATACTTTCATGTGTTTTCATGCTGGTTGATATCATCCTTTCACTGCCAGGTGTAGAACTCCCTTAAGCATTTCTTGTAAGGCCAATCTAGTGGTGATGAATTCCCTCAGCTTTTGCTTGTCTGGGAAAGACTTTATTTCTTCTTCATTTATGAACCATAACTTTGATGTGTGTGGGCTTTGATGTGTATAGTTTAATTGGCTAGCAGGTTTTTTTATATCAGCACTTTGAGTATAATTATCCCACTCTTTCCTGTCCTGTAAGTTTTTGCTGAGAAATCCACTGTTAGTCTGATGGGAGTTCCTTTGTAAGTGACTACATACTTTTGTCTTGCCGTTTTTAGAATTCTCCTTTTGTCTTTTACTTTGACAGTTTGACTTTAATGTGCCATGGAGAAGACCTTTTTGGATTGTATAATATCTCTTTTGGAATCTCTGCGCTTTCTGTATTTGAATGTCTAAATCTTTTGCTAGACTTGGAAAGTTTTCAGGTATTATTTTGTTAAATAGGTTTTCTATCCATTTTGTTTTCTCTTCACCTTCTGGGACACCAAAAATTCAAATATTTTATGATGAATTCAAAATCGAATTCAAGTGTTTTATTTATGATGTCCAATATGTTACATAAGCTTTGTTAATTCTTTTTTATTTTTCTTCCTTTTTGTCTGGATTATTTAAAAAGACCTGTCTTCAAGTTCTGAAATTCTTTCTTCTGCTTGATATAGTCTGTTGTTGAAGCTTTTGAATGTATTTTGTATTTTATTCAATGAATTTTGCACTTCTAGAATTTTGTTTTGTTCTTTTTTTATGTCTGTCTCTTTGGAAAATTTCTCATTTATATCCTGAATTGTATTTTTGATTCATTTGTATTGTTCTTCTGTGTTTCCTTTTATCTCAAGGAGCTTCTTTAATATCATTATTTTGAATTCTTTTTCCAGTATTTTATAAATTTCTTTTTCCTTAGAATCTGTTGCTGGAGAATTATTGTGTTCTTTTGAAGGTGTCGTATTTCCTTCTTCCTGTTTCATGTGTCCTTACATTGATATCTGTACATCTGGTATAATAGTCACTTCTTCCATTTTTTTTAATTTGCTTTTGTGGGGGAGGGCTTTTCCCTGAAGATGTATCTGTGGTGTTGGTTGGGTAGGGTACTTAGGCTTTGATTCTGGTTGCATGCAGTAGTGTTGTCTTTGTGTGAGTTCTTTGACTGTAAACAGTGTCAGGGGTGTCTGATTTCCTCAGTGGCTTAGGGTGCCATTGTTAGTGGAGGGAGTGGTGAAGTTTTGCTGGGGACGGGGATGCCAGGTGGGCCAGTTTTTTGGCCCTAGTGCTGGCAGCAGCAGGCCAAGTCTGCCTGTCCTTTTGCTCCGGGATGGGTCCACCCTAGTGCTGGCAGCAGCAGGCCAAGTCTACCTGTCCTTTTGCTCCGGGGTGGGTCCAGGTAGGCTGATTCTTCAGCCTCTGGGTGGTTTGCTCAGGTGCTGGCAGTGGCAGTGGTGGGTTCTCGGGCCCCTGGGCAGCAGATGTGGCATGGACGATGGCAGAAGCAGTGGTAGGACAACCCTCTGGCTCCCAAGTAGTTCATGCTAGTGTCAGCGGTGGCCATGACTGGCTGGGTGGACTAGTCCCCAAACCTGCAGGTGGCACTTGCAGGTGGGTGCCAACTGTGGTGGTAGCAGCAGGTTGGATGGGCCCAACCTTAGGCCCCCAGGAGGAGTTGGATGGCATACAACCGTAGGCTCATGTGCCAATGGTGGTAGAATGAGCTGAGCGGTTCCCACACCCTTGGACAAGTGGTCAAGCACTGTGGGGGTGATGCCAGGCCTGGTGGGCCTGTCCTTGGGCCCTGCCCCGTGGTGGTGCATTCAGGCACTGGCTGCAGTAGGCAGGGGCAAGGTGATCCCTGGGCCCCCGACAGAATGCTTGGCTGGGGGCAGCAGTGAGTATGCCGCAGCCTGCTTTGGGGGCGGTGCAGGGGGTGTGCTTTCAGTGGCAGCAAGCACAGGCAAGTGGCTGGGAAGCATGTGCTTCGGCCCCAGGTGGTGGCTGCAGGCAGGGATGTCTGTCCTCAGGGCCCTTGTAGATATACAGCAGCTCTGCTGCTGAGGGCTGCAAGGTCACTGCCAGAGGCTCAAGCTTCCCAGCCCCGGTGGTGGTAGCCAGCAGTGATGGCAGCTGCAAGTGGGGGAGTCTGTCCTTGGGACATGTGAACGTGAACAGTGGTTCCACTCCCAGGGGCCTGCTGTTTGGCCCAGAGGGCAGCAGCCAGCCACGGCTGCATTTGGCTGCAGCCCTGAGCAGCCCCCTTTTCTTTAATTTAGAGGAAATGCATGTAGTGTTTACTGCTGATCATAAGGTTTGGTTAAACATTCTTTCTTAATATCAGGTTTTGTTTTTTAAAATTTTCCTTTTAGCCTGATTCATAGTTATCCAATAACTTCTTCAACTGTCTACTGTTGCAATACATATTTTTTTCATTTTACTCTATTAAATTGATATATAATACTACTAATTTTTTTTTTTTTTTTGAGACAGGATTTCACTCTTTTCTGGGCTAGAGTGCAGTGGCATCATCATAGCTCACAGCAACCTCAAACTCCTGAGCTCAAGCAATCCTCCTACCTCAGCCTCCCGAGTAGCTGGGATTATAGGTGCACACCAACACACCCAGCTAATTTTTAATTTTTTTGTAGAGACAGGGTCTTGCTATGTTGCTCAAGTTGGTCTGAAACCCCTGGCCTCAGGTGATCCTCCTGCCTCAGCCTCCCAAAGTGTTAGGATTACAGGCATGAGCCACTGCTCTTGGCCTGTATGTTTTAATCTTATAGCATGGTTTCGTGGATTGAACTAACAGATTCCATGGGACTCTTGTTAAGTATGAGTTGTACATTTTTATTGTCCCAAACATGCTGAGCAAAAATGATGAAAAAAATCATCAAAATATACAAGGGCTGTCCACAAAGTATCCAGCCATGTAACCTTTCTCGTTATATTAACAATGGCTGGATACTTTCCAGATAGCCCTCGTGTGTCGCTTCTCTTATTTCATGGATGCACAAGCCCATGGTATATTGTTTCTTTGTTTGTTTTTAGAGATAGGGTCTTGCTGTGTTGTCCAGGCTATAGTGCAGTGGTGTGATCATAGCTCACTGTAGACTCGAACATCTGGGTTCAAGCAGTCCTCCCACCCTGGCCTGCCAAAGTGTTGGGATTATAGGCCTGAGCCACCAAGCTCAGCCTTGTGTTTTGTTTGTTTGTTTGTTTGGTTTGGTTTGGTTTTTTGGGTATTTAAGTGAGACAGTGGGAGTGGGGAAGGAACAAAGAAATCTGTAACTGGTTGTGATCAATTACTCGTAAACACCACTGCACTCAGAGCAGCTAGCAAATTATTTTTATGAAAGATACATCATCATTTGAAATAAGTTTTGTTTTTGGAACAGTTGAAATTATATTAATATCTTAAAGATTTTCCATGGTTTTAAATTTGTTCTACACTATCATGTTAATGAAGTAGTAGTAGTGACAATAGTGACCTATTAAGTGCATAACTGTGTGTGTATATAGTGGCCTGTTATGATGTTCCATATTCTTATCCTTGAATTTCTTTCACCTTTTCTCCATTACATAAACCTCTGTCAATTTACACTTCTTGCTGTTTCTGTTACTTAACTGGTAGTTTCTTTATGTTCAATTCTAAGTGCACCTGGGTTCACCACCTGGGTGCAGGTGTTGGCTCTATCATTTTTAGCTCTTTGATCTGTGGCAAGTTTCTTAGAGTGTCTGTGACACAGTTGTCTCCTCAGTAAGATGGGAACAGATCGTTCTATCACAGGCTCTTACATTATTATACGAATTAGGACGTGTAAAGCATTTAGAATAGTGCTTGGCACATGAGAAGTGTTCAAAAATTTCAGTCATTGCCATTGCCATCATCATCACAGATTTTACATCCTGACCTTTTTTTCTTTAAAGCCACCATGGCCTTTGTCATTTCTGAAGACACGTATTCTAGCTCACCTAAACACCAGATATCACTTGGTATGTTGAACGTAACACTTCGATAGAGATAGCCCTGTGTTGACTTGTTATTTGTATATTTCTTGTCTTCTCCACAAAAATGAGAAATCCACACTGATATAGAAGATATAATCTCTTATGGAAAAATGTAATAAAACAATTAAGGAGAGATGTGTGTTCCAAAATACCTTAATGTGAATTTTTCATAACACTTCAATCAAATCCATACTTAAAATTTGCTTCTCTTTTCATTTTCTGTGAAGATGATAAATCCCTCCATAACCCCTCGGTAAAATGTGTTTTTCATTTTAGGGACAGTTGACATTCAGGGATGTGGCCATAGAATTCTCTCAGGAAGAGTGGAAATGCCTGGACCCTGCTCAGAGGGCTTTGTACAGGGACGTGATGTCGGAGACCTACAGGAACCTGGTCTCGCTGGGTGAGGATACCTTCCCTCCAGAAGTCGGGACCTGCCCTTGTATGTCTTTGCGTTTGATCTTGTGTGCCTCTTGGAAGCCCCCGCATTGCTTGGCTGAGATTGAAGTCCTTTGAACTAGAAACAAAGGCTTCCTGTGAGGCATTTAAATTTGTTCTACACACTCCCCTTTCTTCAGTTGTTCTGCCCCCTTTGGGATCTGCCAGTTGTGGATCCACACCTAAAGTATGCATAAAACCTTATGCCAGACTTTTTTAAAATACCTAGTTCCTTGCTTTTTCACCTGTGCTTTCATTTCAGTAGTTCTTAGAAGAGAGCTAGATGTCTACATGTTTGGATGTAAAAAAACTTTGATTTTGTCGTCTTATGTTTGTGTGATTTTGCGTCTGGTAATTGCATTTGATATACATAGTTTTAGGTCATGTGTTTTTTTTCTGCCGTGATAACCCGCCTCTACGTTATGTTCTTGTGGACTCTCCTGTGGGATGAGTTTACATGAAAACAGAAAATTCTTGAAGGAGAAGACTTTGACTACTATGTTTCAATATGATCCTGCCACATACAGAGATGCCTCTTGAAGCCGTGAGCAGAATTGTCAGCGTGTCCCAGGACACTGAGATGGAAAGTATCAGGAGAGCCTACTGGTCAGTGCTTCCTATTGTCTTTCTGGTTTTTGAGGAGTATCACAAAAGTGTCCCTCAAGGGCACCATGACAGTGTTGATCACACACAGTAATGACCATCCCCTCTGAGCCAGCAGTCAGTGTTGGTATGTCCCCTAAGGAGAATGTTCAAGCTCACAGCCTCATGTGTATGAGGCTCTTGGCTAAACTCTTGTTCATGCCACATTTTTTGTCCCCTGTGTCATTGTTCATTCTCATCAGCAAACCTTTGTTCAAACCTGTGTACAGTTTGTTTCAAGTTCAAAGGTACAACAAATATGATTTTAACATATCTTGTAGAGACAGCTATGCCTCGGTTCTTAAAGTCCTCTTCATTGGTTTAAGCTGCTGCTACTTTCATCTTGTACATTTCCATGTGGTATAAATGAATTATTTTTTATTCATTTAATCATCAGTTCTGTATTTTTTATGATATCCTTAGTATTTGGTTTGTAGCTGGAATGCAAGGAGTGTTGTATCAGGAAATGGCCATTTATTTGTGTATTTTTGAAGTTTTCCTTCTGTGGATAGGGTACAATTCCAGAGCAGTTTCTCTAATAGACACACAAACTCCGGAACTTACTGAACAGGCAGTATTAATTGGCTTTTTTACTTCTATATCACTTGACTTAGTACCTACTATTAGAGTATACTTTTGTCAATTACACTTATTACTGTTTTTAAATTGAGAATTTTTGGTATCTGGAGAATATACATTTTTTAAATTAAGTTACCGTCAAATCCCAGAAATAACATTAAATTGACTTGCCATAATTTGTCACTTAAGACACATTGCTTTTTTTATAGTATATTTTTAGTTTTTTAAGCATAAGTTTATTTAAATTTCACTGAATTCTGATTTCTTAGAACAAATGCTGCATTGTAAAAATTACTGTCCCTGTCCAGATTCATCATGTCCATCTTGGTATCCTAAGTGAATTTTTACGTATCTCCTAGC